CAGAAATGCTGAATTTAGAGAACCTGAATTTTTCATAATGACCAGTGAACATGCCTGCCCTTTGCTATGGAGATTCTATATGTTCTAAGGCTGTATGCTATACAGAGATGCTTGAAGAAATAAATATCCCAGAACAAAGACAGTACCTCTGCTCATAAGACATGCAGAAGCACTTAAGACCCATGGAGAGTTGTCTCCCAAAAGACTCACTTGTTCATATTTTCCTTAATACTCTCTTGTTATTCTTCTATTATATGCACCATATTTACATATTTTAAATTTAGGTTTTGTTTTGTTAGTTACACATTGGCATGATTTAAAGAGCTGCTTTACAAGTCTTATTCCTTAAAAACAGTTGTTCCCTGCCCTGCTACCCATTCACTGCTTCTCTCTCCAGTCTGGCTGATTCTGCTGGCAGTGATGACGGTCTCTATAAATAACACGTTTTAGATTACTTCCACCTCTTGCTTTGTCAGATGAAGGCATTAACTCTTGACTTCCACTGTGAAGAATGTGGACTTGGCTTTCTCTCACATTCCTACCCTATCTATCTGTGCTCTGTTTCCACATTTTTCAATACAGTTAAGGCATAGTTTTGGTCAGCTCAGTATCGAGTATTTTATTATGATATTGTTATAAATGCTATTCACAGATGGACTGTGTGCCATACTCTTCCATTTCTGCACAACTTACTGTTTTCTCATATTTTATTTTTGATAGCTTTCATTGCTCTTCTCCAAATGTTGGAATCTTGAAGGCATCTCTCACAGAGCCCTTTGACCGGCTCCATTCTATTCTGGCTGCTCTTTCGGCTGCTGTGCAGCTTCTTGAATCTCCCCTCAATATCCTCCAGGGATTTCCTTTCTCTCTATTATGTTTAATTCTGTTCTTGGGTCCCATGTCTCTTTCTTGGTTTATATGTTCATTTTTGGTGAAGCATGTCCTGATAAAAGGGCACAGAGGAAAAAAAATTTTAGAGGGACTGAACGTCTGAAAACGTGCTCTCACACTTAATGGTTCAGCAGGCATAGAATTGTAGGTGGAAAGTAATTTTCCCATAGAAATTTAAATAGCATTTGCTTCTTTTTCTTCTAGCTCCCAATGTCATCATTCGAAGTCTGAATCTTGGCACTTTGTGTAAAACTATTGTTTTTTCTCTTTAGGAACCTTTATGACCTTTTATTTTTTTCCCCAATGTTCTGTACTGTCACAATGATGTACCTTAGTTTGGGTCCATTTTCATCCTTTGTCCTTGGCATTTGTGTATCCTTTAAATCTGATGACTTCAGTTTGGGGAAAAATTTTTAATTTACTTCATGGATAATTTATTCTCCTCTGTTTTTTCTGTTTAGCCATTGACCAACTCCTATTATTCAAATGTTGGACCTCTTGGCCTCAATTTCTCTTTTACTAATTTTCAATATAATTGCTTTTTGTTCTGCTTTGTGAGAAGTTTCCTCTACTACACTTTCCAAATTTTCCATTGTAGATTTAATTTCTGCTATATTTTTTAATTTCCAAGAAATGTTTTGAGTATCCTTTACCTGTTCTATCAATGCAATATTTTCTCTCATTTCTCTGAGAACACCTCTCCTGGTACAGCCTCTGTTTCCTCCAGTTTGCTTTCTATCTTTCGTCTACGCATTTCCTCAAATGTTTGGTGATCCTTAGCTGTTTGCTCATCTTTAAGAGCAGAATGCTCTAAAAGGCTTTTTCTGTGAGATTTTCTACAGGGTAATCTGGCTTTGCCTTAGTTGGGGGCTGGTCAGACCCCCATAGAAGAACCTCCCAATCTCTTGCTGAGAGTTTGGTTGTGTGTATTCTGGGGACCAGGGAGGAAAGGAGGCTGAGGACCTCAATATTCAATATGCAACCTTCCACTCAATCTCTTTTTAAATTACTGGATGCCTGAACTCAACTTCAGTCTTTGTCAGGGTGAAAGAAAGTCTTTGTCTCACTATCAAGAGTAGGGCAAGAAATTAGGAGTCTTCTTGTATTTCAGCTAATCTTCATGTTTTCAGCATCATATTCATTTCAATTTCCAGAGTTACCTTTTGTTGTCAGCTCCTGAGATTATCTGGGGTTCCATGTTACAAGTCAGGGGTTTTGTTTGTTTTTTGCTTTTTCTGTTGCCAGTTAGGAGTACACTTTCTTAGGTCTACTTAGTTACTATTCATGCTGCTTTTTAGCTTCCAAATTTTTGTTGCTATTTTCCTGTCTCTTCTCTTTGTCTAACTGTTTATTCCACTTACTATCATTTTAGTGGGGCTTGAAGATATAATACAGGTGTTCAACCTACTTTTTTTTTTTTTTTTTTTTTTTTTTTTTTTNTTTGAGACAGAGTCTTGCTCTGTAGCCAGGCGCCAGGCTGCAGTACAGTGGCACAATCTCGGCTCACTGCAATCTCCGCCTGCAGGGTTCAAGCAATTCTCCTGCCTCAGCCTTCCTAGTAGCTGGGACTATAGGCACATGGCACCACACCCAGATAATTTTTGTATTTTTTAGTAGAGATGGAGTTTCACCATGTTGGCCAGGATGGTCTCGATCTCTTGACCTTGTGATTCACCTACCTCGGCCTCCCAAAGTGCTGGGATTACAGGCATGAGCCACCTTGCCTGGCCCAACCTACTGTTTAAACTAAAAACAAATTACTATGTTTATTACATGTTTATGCATTTATCTTTCCAACCATATGTCGAAAATCTCGATTGTATTCCAAATACCTGTTCATGATATATTTCGATATATTTTTATGGAATTGATTAATTATATTAAAAGAGATTACTTTCTCAACTGTGGTTTTCTGAAAAAGTAAATGAGGTAAGTAGGTCTGTGTCATAGAAGGAGAAAACATTTAGTGTCTCTTTTAGGGTTGATGAGATCTCTAGATCATAATAGGCATGCTATTATACAATTGTTCTATTTTGAATAACATCCCAGTGATAATTCATTCAGTGAATCCCAAACAATCTACCATCTTAGAAACAAATAATTAAAATGGACTTTGAGAGCTCATATAGTAAGTCCCTTTGGCTGAAAGTATTACCAGTCCATTATATTAATAGTACCAAGAAGAGAGGTTAGCTCATGATATGAGTTTATTTAACATGCTTGAAAAACTGGGGGATATCAATTCTCTAATTCAGTAATATACAAAGAAAGATAAAGAATCAAGACAAAACAGAATGTCTTCTAGATCCTTAGACTAAATTAAAGTCTAAGCGTCTATTAGGATTCCTTGCTGGGCCAGGTTTCTTGCTACTATGATAGATTACAATTTTTACCCAAGTATGGCATGTAATGTTTAATGTAAAAGAGATTAAAACAATTTTTTAAAAACCTCTTTGAAAAATCTTTTGAAGAGCAAATAGAGAAAGGAAAAGTAAAGTTTTTATTAAGACAACTTTCAATGTATTCTTGCCACCTCTTGCCATTAAAAATAATTTTTGCTGGAATAGGTTAAAACAAATTTCAGACAGCGTATCTTTTTCATCCATAGATTCTTATTCTTTTTTTTTTTTTTGAGATGGAATCTTGCTCTGTTACCAGGCTGGAGTGCAAGGCGTGATCTCAGCCCACTGCAACCTCTGACTCCCTGGTTCAAGCCATTCTCCTGCCTCAGCCTCCCCAGTAGCTGGGATTACAGAAATGCGCCGCCATGCCTAGCTAATTTTTGCATTTTTTTTTTAGTAGGGACAGGGTTTCATCATGTTGGCAGGATGGTCTCGATCTCCTGACCTTGTGATCCACCCACCATGGCCTCCCAAAGTGCTGAGATTACAGGCATGAGCCACCACACCCGGCCTTCACCCATAAATTCTTCTAAACAATTTTTATTATTCAGATTTTTTCTTTCTATTTTATATAAAACTATAATGCAATTATTATTCCTAACAAAACTAATAATTTCACAATATAATCTAACACCCCGATCCATATTCAAATTTCCCAGATTATCTGTTTGAATTGAGAACCACTGCATTTGGTTCCTATATCTCCTGAGTCTGTTTTAATTTATAATTACCATCTTATTCTTTAACTAACATATTGTGTGCTTAAAGAGTGAAGGCAGGCTTGCAAAAGGCTTTTTTTTTTTTTTTTTTTGCTGCAGTATCAGCTTTACTTTAACCTGGCATTCTTCCAAAATTCTAAGTGCTCTTGAGGCACATGTTTCATGGGTATGTACTGGCCTTGTGCTTCTGTTAGTGAGAATATAATTCAACAGTTGGTCATTTTTAATATAATTGCATTCTGTCTTATTTACTTATGCCACTAATCAAACTTTGAAGGCATCTGCCTACTAGATTTATGCATAGTTTAGAATCTCACTGTTACATTAAAAAATTATAAATCCATACTGTAGAATGCAGTGATAGTATAATTAGATATATGGAAAACTAAGTTTAGTAATAAATACATGCATTAGGTATTATTTTAGAAATGCTTTCAAGCCATTTATTTCAAGTGATAGTCATGGGGTAAGAATAAGAGCATTTTCTGAGTCTTGATCAGATAAAACCCAACATTTGTGGCCAGTACTCCACTTTCATCTGCTCTTTCCATTTTAAAGTCTCTCTAGTCTCACCATAGGCATTAGGCTACCGCTCCCATTTCTCTTCTCTTTATATTCAACTACTATATAGTAAGTGTCTGCTATGTGCCAGATGCTGTACAAACTATATTCCCTTTTAGTTCTCCCATCCAAGTACTAACCAGGCCCCACCCTGCTTAGCTTCTGAAGTTAGGCGAGATCGGGTGTGTTCAGGATGGTATGGCCATAAACTACATTCCGTTTAATTCTTATGACAGCCTATGGATGTGCCAGCTTCACTTTGTCAATGTGAAGCCCAGACCCAGAGGTTGTGCACAGGGTCTCTGACTCTAAAAGCTATGCTTCTGAAGTGCTCATGTTGCTCTCTGGGGTGTTAGTGGTGATTGGATTAAAGAAGGTCAAATCAGCACCAAAGGAGTTAACAAAATGTTCAAAACTGGACCAATACCTGCTCCATGGAATCCCCCGCAGACATAGAGTTTCCCATCCACTGCCCCTGCATTGGTGGAATTGGTGCGGAGTGAGAGGAGGGGACTTGGCATGAGAGGGCCCTCTCGCCAAAAGTCCCCATCTGGGTTGTAGATCTCCACCACGTCAAGGCATTTTCGGACCTGGCCCTTGTCTCGACCTACACAGCCAATGCCACCTGCAGAGAATGATGTGGAGAAATGAGAGAATCAAGAACTGAAACTCAGTTGTGGACAGCATCACCTGCTGCATGGTTTGTAGCAAAGGTTCATGGCACTGTAACTTTTCTCTCTCCTGCCAGGTGTTACCTCTAAGACAACTTCTAAGCAATAATGATGTCTACTATGTACCCCATAGTCACATTTAATGTCATTTTTACTCATAGCGTTCCCCTTGTTTGTCATCATGCATGTGACTGAGTCTACCACATGCCTTATATTCTACAATATCCAATCCTGGCTCACATGATGAGCATCCCCTTTACAATAAGAATTTCAAGGTTGACTGTAAAGATAACCTGACTTTGACATTTGCCTTGCTGTTGACGGTTAGCAATGCTTTTGCTGATGTGCCTAGCTAGGAATGTGTTCTTCCCATTCCTTATCATTGCAAGCTGGTCTCTCCCTCTCTTCCTAAGTTGCATGAAATTTCCCAATTAGGGAAGTACTATTCTTTGGTAAATTTCAGGAAAGGCCCTAAATCCAAATGCCCAGTGCATTTTCCAGTTTTGGATGTATAGTTTATTCATCAGATATTCATTAAATGCCTATAATATGTAAGGCAATGTGCTAAGTTATAATAAGGAGCTCAGAAAGATGCATAAAGCATGTTTCCTACACTTAAGAAATTAATGGGATGGAAAGGGCCACGTTTGCAAATAAATAAAATAGAGGATATCAAGACAGGTGTCTTAAAAGAGATATAAATGAGATTTAGAAGTCTGAAGACTGTAACAAGGAACATAAATAACACTTACAGAATCATGACTTTAAGTACAATTCTCTATTGGAAAAATAATTGTATACAAATTCCTACCAACTGTAATAAGAAACACATTTCTATGCACCCTTTTTGTTTTACCCTCCCAAGTCCATCAAGGTCAGGGCCATATTTCCTGATCTGAAGGATGGCTCCTGAGACTGAGGTAAACCCTCTGGGAAAGAGGGACATGCCTGTATTTGCAGACACACCTCTTATCAATGACCTCATTCTATACAGACTCACAGCCTGGTCTGTGTGACTAATCAAAAAGCCTATAAAGCACTGGCCTCAGGTAAACCAGCTCTCCTTCACATAGAGAGGGTCCTGGAAGAATCACTGCACATACTGCATATGTGGCGTGGTGACTGATACTGGAGTGTGTTGTTGACAGCAGTCTCAAAAACAAAATTAAGAACTTTGCTTTGATCTCATGGCTTTTAATATATGTTTCACTTACTGGGAAATTAATCTCATATGTCTCCTGGCCTGTCTTCTCTCACTGTCATTTTACACGCTTTGCCCATCACTACATCAGTCATGTGGTCTTTTCACTATCACCTGGTTTCCTATCTTGCTCACTGGACTGTAGTTTCTGTATGGCATCCCCAGTACCTAGCCCAGTGCCTGACACATTGTGTGTATAGAATGAAGAATGAGAAGTTTAACTTTGCATGTGCTTTCCCTGTCTGTCCAAGTGAGCGTGCTACTGGGGGCAAAGGCCACTATTCTGCATCTTTTATATCACAGGGCCTGCCACACAGTACTCAATGAATCCAATAAGATTGATGGGAACAGCTTCTTTTCACCATGGTTGGGGTTTATGCCAGGCATAAAACATGATGAAAGTGCACTTTGAAGAAAAAGTCTTTTTTTTCCTTTGGGGATGTAAACTGGCTTGTTTCCTGTCTCAGTTTGAATCCAGGGACTGAGGCTATAACCTAACTCAGGAGGCTCTTAGCTGCCTTCTCTCTTTTCCAACTGGATAAATAATTTAGCCCATTACAGTGCCAAGTCCTAGCTGCAGCGTTTCCAAGGAGGGGACACACTGGCCTCGGTTAACAGCACAGCTCTGCTGTTTCTGGGCCCTCTTTCAATGTGGCACTCGGGTAGTGAGAGCTTTCTCAGCATAACAAAAAGTGGAATTTCCTATTGTTGGGCAAGAAGGACTTAAAGAAGAGGATTTATCCATAGGCGTTGAACCCAGCAACCCCCCAGTAAGGTAAGAATAAGATGATCTAGTTGTCTGTTTCTGTGAGATCCAGGACAGATGTTACTAGGCTGGTTTGTATTACACCCCTTCAGAAGACCAGTAAATGAAAGCAAAGAGATGAAATGGGAGTCACTGGAGTTGGGTTGGGGCACACGGAGCAACCAGCATCCTGAATCTAGCTTACAAGTTTCACATAAAAGCCCATTAGAAAGATGTACCCAACATGATGCATATACAGAATGGTTATTATTCTCTTGATTTTTGGAATAATTAGAGTGTTGTCATTTTTATTGCTCTATTACCAAGTATATTTAATTAAAATGTTCAGCCCTTACTCTGCAAAACTAGCCCTTTCTATTTGGTTGGCAGGGAGTTCACACACTCCACTCAAGGGGTGACATGAGCTTCCAGGGTGCTCTGTCTTTGTTTTTGACCATTAATGCCTGAACACATTCTCTGTCTCACTTGGATGTAATTCCACCATCAAATACACTCTATTAGCAGCAGACTTAATGAGCTTAAACTGAAGGTGAATCCTGATTAGGTAAATAATCAAATGAAAGCATGATCTTTATTAATAAGTCAGCACCAGCATTACAAGAGAAACCTTTTGATGAGTGAAGTCCTGGGGTAGGATCAGCACATCTGTAGAATTTCAATGAGATACCTCCATATCTTTAATTTATATGAACCTCTGAGCATGACTTTTCTTTATTCAAAAACAGATAAATGAATAGAAATTATCTTTGCAAGTCATATCCAAATGGACCACAAATGCAAAATATATACCTTTTTTTTTTTTTGGTGTGTAGCGGAAAGGGGGAAATTATAGAAGAGAACGATGCCTCCCCCTCTTTTTATCATTTCTTTAAAGACTCCCTCTTCTTGTATGTGTGGCTATTTTAGATTCTTTCTCTTCTGGGGGGTGTAGGAGTGAACCTCTCCTCCCACACAAAGCCTGGGAGGGAGCTGGCTGAGGCAGAGGGGAGTGGTACTCTCTGCCCAAGGTGCCCTTGAATGCAGCGGTGCTGGCTCCCAATGCCCTCTGCCTGCAGGGTCACCTCAAGGTGGCAGGCTTATTCTGTATTTTCCCCCTGGTGTGATCCAGAATAGTAGGGGTATTTTGTAATCCTTTGGACAAGCTCCCAAAGTTGCTTGCCTTGCCAAACCAGCCTTAGGGGAAAAATATACATATATTTATATTTACTATTTTTGGCACCCATGTGCCCTGGAAAAAGGATGTGGACCTTGGAAACACACAGACCCTGGTCCATACCCTGTGTCACCATTTGCTAGCTAGAGAAAGTTGGTCAATTTAATTTCTCTCAGCCTTTTCTCACCAGTAAATTAAGGGTAATGACAGCAATTCCACAACTTGTTGCAAAGATTAACTTATTAGGCAACCACGCAAAGGCAGAGATGGGTAAGGAGGAACTCATATTTGTTGTATACCTATTCACAAGTATTACCACAGGAATTTTCCTTTAATATCTATTCTCACGCACGGTGTGTAGACAAAATGGCTAGTATGCAGGAGGCATCCAAATGTTGATTCTCATTCTCTTTCATGTTCTAGGATGTTACCTGGGTAACCAGTGTTTATTAAAGTTGCTGAAATCCTACCTTTGCTTACTCTCAATTTAATTATTTGCTGTGTCTATAATTGACAGTTTACTGACTGTATGGTCAAATTGCCCTTAATCGTTTCTTCTAGGGTTGGATAGAGAGATTCAGGAGGCCAAAGGACTAAGGAATAGGCAGAGCCTTCCTCTCAGCCTTTAGATGGAGGGAAAAGCTCCTGACATGACTTAGAGTAACTCATTTGGTTGTAAACGTTTGAGAGTGGCAGGAGCTGTTGGTGGACATCACAAAAGATACAAAAGGATTTTGCAATCCGTAGGCTTCTAGGAGTAAAACTGGCCCATATATCTGAGTGGATGGGCTGCTTTCTGACACATGTCAAACATAATCTATTCACTGCTAATATAATGCTTGCGAAGATTTGCTTCATTCTCACACAAGTTGTCAGCTCTCTGATTATTTTTTCCAACTTCATTTCAGAATTCTAGCTTTGGTGCCTAAAACCCTAGAAAACATGAACCTAGCTCCTTGCCACTTTCTAAAGTCTAACACAAGGGGGTCTTGGGTATTTTCAGAATAAAGCCCAACACTACAAGGCTGACAGCCACTTATCTGCCTTCTACGAAATTCTGGATGATACTGTGCAGTGCTCATCAACAGAGTGCCTGGGCTCACAGAACAGGGCTGCTGGGGCCCCCTGTACTGCGGCCATTCTCCATTCTCTTTAACTGCTGGCCTTCATAGCCCTTGATCAGCTTTTTCTTGCCAGGCCGGGAAAACACAATCATTGTCTGCATTTTGTTTGCTACCTCACACAGATGACTGTGAAAATCAAATAAAAGAGCTTCAACGGAAGACCAAATTCCATTTGCTGGAGCTTGATTTTGCTTCATTTTGGAGGGAAAAATCAATTACTGGAATTGTCTGATAACTTCCAAGTGGAAATATAGACGGTCTAATAGAATGTTCTGGAGCTGGGCCCTGAGTGCCAAATAAACTGCAATTATACAATACTGTCCCATCTGATCCTGAGTGACCTCTATGCTTTTGTGTCAACCCAGCAATGGGAATTAGTGGATTTCCAGTCAAGTCTGGGCCTTTGAAACCCTAGGCCCATCTTTTCCTTGTCTCTTCCCATACTGTCACCAGTTTGTCCGGCAGGGGTCCCAGCAGGTCTGAAGCCTGGCCCATAAGGGGAGAACACAGAGGAGTGGGACATGGTAGGTGGGAGTGAGCTTAGGGGATGGTTCATAGATGCCACAGCAGGCCAGAGGTGCCAGCTGCAGAAGAATGTCACCACAGCCCTCCTCTCAGCAGTCATCCAACTCTGCTTACTGCACCTCCTTGACACCTCCCATACCCATCCCTTCCTCTACAGGGACCAAGTCTTGGTGACCCAGCTGCTCCTAACTCCTCGCTTGCCTGGTCTGCCCTTCTCCCTCCTGCACCGCCCCTGCCCCTGAGGCTCCAGAACACTCAACCGTTTCCCAAATAAGAAGGCTATTTGTCTCTAGGCCTAGGCCTTGGTTTGGGCTGATCTCTCTGCCTAGAATGGCCTCTTCTCCTCTTCAACTTGGCAAACCCCTAGTCCTCTTATAAGGCTCAGCTCTATCTTCAACCTCTCACAAGCCTTTCATGTCTCCACACAGAATTGGCCATTCCCTCTTTCGGCTTCCGCTGTCCTGAACAGAAATCAAGGTTCCTATGAAAATACATTGCTCTAATTAATCTCCCTATATGCCTCCTTGTTAGATGAGACTGTAAGTCCCTTGAGGGCAGATGTCTAATCACATCTGTATTGCCAACACTCTCTACACTGGGTACAGACAGTGAAGACAGAAATACTGAAAGGAATGCATGAATGGGTCAGCTCCTTACCTATGTCCTAGGTATCTTTTTTTTCTTATACTATTTTCACTGGGGGGACTAGGGGGTTTCAGAGTGTGGCAAGTCTTAAATCCAAAGAGCTAAAAGCTGGCTGATTATAAAGTTCATCTTCTTAAGAATATAGGAATCTAATCTCAGCTACTGAGAAAAATGACTGCTGTCTGTTGTTGGGCTCATCTTTTCCCCCCAGATTTGCCTGCCTAATACTGATACTTCTATGAAGTGGTACTGCAAAGAACTATTCGTCAAACCTATTCCACAGCTTAAAAGTGAAAGATACACAAAATATAAGTCCTTGAAGGCAAGGCCTACATCTTCATATTCCGAGGTGCCAAGCATAATATCTTTCTTCTAAAGGATACTTGACAGTATTTGTGATATAAATATTAAAGCAAAAAAGATCATAATTCTTTGGCATATTTATCTTGTGTCTAAGTGAATTGAGTTACAGAAAATATGCACTCATTTCCATATTTACCCAAGAAATGGTAGAGGAAGGGAGTGACAAAAATATTGATCGCATGTATGAATTAGGATAAAGGAAGAAAGATAGTACATTTTACTCCAAATGATAGTTTTTTGGCAATTGATATTTTCCTCTTTAAAGCACAAAAATTTTCCGTTTCAACTCTTTATACTGTTTTAAAATATGTATTATGTTCTTTTCTGCCTTAGTGAACTGAAGGTACCAAATATAGTGGAACGTTTTCTTAAGGATTCAGGAGTAACAAAATAATCTTCTGTTTATAATATACTATGGATATCGATGGTTGCACACAAAGCTGCACAAAGACATGCCTAAGATTTGCTTTCTTAAACAAATCCTTGTTATTGGCATCATTTATCTTTCTTTAACAATTTACCGCTTTTTCATAAAAGCAAAGCACAGAATGTGTAGTTGTACAACCCTTTGCCTGTATAACATTAAGCTTTCCTGCAGACACACACTAGTAAATCAGAGCCTGAGACAGCATTCTCCTAGGATATTTCTTATCCTCCCGCAGTAACATGAGCACTGTCCTGTGGGGCTTTCACAGTGTAGAAGCTTCCAAACATTCTAATTTCAGAATCAAACACATTTTAAACTTGTAGTTAATTTAAGCAATCTAAAAGTATATTTTGGATACCCACTCATGTTTATACTAGGTGTCATAGAATAACAAGTTTGAGGGTTTTTTTTTTTTTTTTTTTTGTCCATAAGACCCTCAGAGTCTGCTGGGAAATAAAGGACAAATATGGAAACATACATAATACAGGATTATAATTACACACTGATGAAATAAAGTGTAATTTCTAACTCACTGTCACGATGATATATAGAATGATAACTCTCTGTGAACTTGTGGGATATAGCTAAATTGCAATTTGGGAGCCACAGGTAAACTTTGGTCTTTTAGAGGACTTATTTCTGAGTTACTCACTGAGGATGTGAGATAATAAAGGTTTAAAACCCCTCATATGCTTAACTGGAAATATATTTTAGAGATACATCAAAAATATAATGAGCCATTCACTCCAAGTCAAAGCTACTGAATCTCTAAATCCAAGTCCTTTTTCAGAATAAGGAGGCTTGAGGAACACCCTGTCTGACTTCTTTGGCCATGGTAAAGCATTTCTTTCCTTGTTCATCATAAATTTATGAAATGTATATCTAAACCCAGAACACTCTTTCTGATTAGAGCAGAACATATCTGACAGCCTATTCTGGCTTATTAGTGCCAGGACACTTTGACCAAGTAACTTTATCCAACTTCCTAGCATATTTAAGTACACAATGATGCTGTCTAAAGGAAGAGATATTGCCTTATTCATCTGTATCTCTTCTAAACGTCGGCTCAGGGACTGGCTTATGTAACATGTGCTTAGCAAATACTTTGAGCATATAATAGGTCCATTAATATGATATTACCTTGCCACCTTCTGCAGAACATTTGTGTTTTTCAAAGTGCAATCTTATGATTTTTTAACACCAGAATTGCTTCTATGCTTCCTACAATTCAGATTCCTAGGTTTCATTTTAGACCTACTGACTCCAAATTGCCAATGGTGAGAGTCAGGGATCTGCCATTTTAGTATGCAACCTAGGTTAATTTGAGACTTATACTTTTAAAACATTGCTTAGAATTTTATCAAAATAAAAGGTAAAATCTTACCACAGTGAAGCTTGGTCCTCTCATTTCATAAACAAATTCACCATTAAAGTGATTTTTGAAATGCATTTACTGTAATAATTTGGACCTTTTGTGTAACTTTTCCCTTCATTACTCTTTAATGGCATTCAAGCTGAGAGTCAGACTTGGATAGCGCTGTTATGTTTTCAGTAAACCAGTGAGGCACAAAGTGGTTTCTTGGAGAAAACATTGATAGTTTGGGACATTAGCTATGTGGGAAAACTTAACATTAGCTGTCTCCCTAGACAGGGAAATGAAAAGTCCCTATTTCAAAACATTCTCCGTAAGACCTGTAAGTCTGATGATTTCTGTGACATTTTACATGATAGAATAATAGGACAGGTTGGAGATGCAAAAATGCAATTCAGTAAACAAACACTTATGAGCGTCTATCACATAAAGCCAAGCCCTGGGCTGGCTTTCAGAGGACACAGAGATAAGTAAAACAAGGTCTCGTCTTTTAGACAGTCTGAGTCATAGTGTGACAAGGGCAGCTACTGGCAAAGCAGCATGCTGCTCACTCTGACCAAAGGATTACATAAACCACTATGAGGAGATGGGATTTTTGCCAGATTTTGAGGATGTTGAGTTAGGCCCTACATGCAAAGGGAAAAGGGTAAACAAAGGCACAGGAGGAAAGCATGTTCAGGAAGTGACTCCGAGTCCCTGTGGCTGGCGCTGAGGTTTCGTGGGGTGGAGGAGCAGCAGGAGGAGCTGAGGCTGCAGAGGCAGGCTGGGGTCACGTGTGAAAGGTCTACTGCCTCCATAAATAGATTCTAGGACTCACTTTCTATATTTGATTTTGCCCGACCCATCAATCAAGCTGAAGCAACTTTTGAATGCAATTTGACATTTTAAGAACACTTGATGGAAATCCAAAGCATATTCATGAATATACAATTTCATTTCAGAAGGAAGCATAATTTATTCAAGAGCATAACTAATAGTATGAGATCTAAAATGTCTGCTAGTTTATCTTACATGCAAAAAAGAGAGAGCACTGGTACCATATTGAAATCAGTATTTTATAACAGAAGCATTCACCAAGGACTCATAATGATATTTCAATTAGGTTGAACCCAGAATGTCCTACCTTCCTCAAAATTTTACTAATAGAAGTCTGCATTTGATTCATTTTCTACTTTATTATTCATAAAAATGGATTTAAGACCTTGAAAAAAAGGCATGAACATTTTCTACAGCAATAGGATATATTAACCTAAATTTTCTTGACTACCTTTTTAGGCAATTAGGATGTGTTTTGGATTAAAGAAGCTTAACCATCTCTTATAACAAGCTTTCACTGTACAAATGACAAAAAAATTTTTCTTTAGAAATAAAGCACCTTAAAGGCATTAGCCTTAAACAGCATCCTTTCCTTTGGTCTCCTCCTGGATGTCAGTGGTTCTGTCATTAAACAACAGACCCCTCCTTTCTGCACTTCCTAACAAAAATAGTTATGTTCCTGAGAAAGGCCTCAGGGGAAAAAAAAGAAAAAAAAAGAAAGCTGGCTGGTTTTAAATACCTGTGTTTCCACTTAGGGTGTCATTGACTCATAAGGCTTATATAGACTAAATTATTTTAGGCTTTCTAGGAAGTTATCCAACAGAAGAGCTGATTACAGTGTGGCAAAGCTGACAAAATGTACATGTAACCACATGAGCAATGGAGTCACTTGAGCAATCTGGTCATATCTATTCCTTTATTTTTATGTTAAGAAGCCAATTTATAGATTTCCAGGAAAAACTATCCAGTATATGACTAATATGCCCCTTGGCTAGTCTGCCATAATTCCAGAAGCTGTTTTCATCTAAATTCAAATTATTCATTGTATCTATGACAACACACTTTTTAAAGACAAACATTTACACAAGAAAAATTTAGCATAGATTTTAACTGAAGCACATATTCTATAAAATCTTTAAAACACAAAGCAAACCTCCAGGGTCAGTGCTAGCCACAATGTCCAGTAGTATAATGTTTTTATCTTTAATTCCTATCAGAAGAATACATTCTGGACAATATTTTCAAAGAGTTCCTTACGTGAAAATGTGTACCTGGCTTCATACAGAAAAGCAGGCTGTGTGAATGTGCAGTAAATATGTCATTAGCATATTTACAATGGGAGGAAATGAAGAAGGTAGACTCAGTCCTTTGACTCCCAGTGCATGAGGACAGAACGACCTCAGCTCAGTATGCCTCCTCATTTGGACCTGGCAGGGCACTAACAATAAGATGACAGGCTGAGCATTATTAGGACATTAAAGCATGGTGGACTCCTTGCCACTTATTATAAACAATAATGATTGTTAAAAGTATCATCTATTGAGCACTGCTCATATGCCAAGCACAGTGTTCGGCATTTGACATAATACTCTCATAAGCTGTGCAACAACTGCATGAGTTAATAGTGTATTATCATCTTTATTTTATGAACAAAGAAAACAGACTTAGCAAAGTTAAGTAACTTGCTCAAAATCGCATGGTGCTATTAAGTTGCAGAGAAAAGATTTGTCTGCAGAAAGACTTTTCCTTTCTATGACTTATTTCAGTTAAAGAAGATACCTGGGAAATCTTTGTACATACGGGATTTACTCGGAAGATTTACAAAAACATAATAAGGTAAAGGCAAAGGCCATTAACCAAATAATTCCCATTATCCCTCTTGCCTAAATCCTTCTCCATGGTGGTTAGATGCTACCTGTTAACGTAACTTCTTTTTTTAACAGGAAGTCAGACCATCTCCAATGCCCAGAACACAAGTGAAAACCCTGAGCAATGTAAAACAAGTGTCTGAGTACTGGTGCTGTGATAGAGAATTTGAATTTTATTCTGAAAAAGCTGGAGACATTGTTAATGACACATGATCTAATGGCCTAACTGTATGTGTAATCTATACATATGTATGATTGCCTGCATATACAATCTTGTATGTAAAATCTGTTTATATGCATGATCAATATATAATCTTGTATGTACAATCTAGTAACATAACAGGGAGAGAGTAACAGGAAAAGAAATGGTAACCAAAAGCAGTGGGAAGGAAAGGAAAAAAAAACATGAAACCCTGTAATCTGTGGCCTTCTGGGTTTAGGAGCAAATACAGTAGTACTACATAACTCAACAGTAACAAGAATGAAATCACTCACATACAGATGGACATCACTGATATACAGAGAAGCACATGCTCCTAATGATTATTTTTAAAAGTTATGTTAACATTAAAATTG